TTCATGAGCACTGATAACTTTTTCCAGTTCGAGCCTGCTTATGCAGTTTTAGGTGAGAGTTGTCACTGGGAGCTTGAAGCTTATTTTTTTTTTGTATTATTGTGCCTGTGAGTTTTGTATAGTGCTGTAGTCCCAAAAAAGGGTCTTTTACCTGGTGTGCAAAGCCAATCAACACACAGAGTTATTTGCTTTATTTTGGTTCTGGAGAAATGGATACTAGGTGATAAATCACAAATTCAGCACACTGTTAGCTCAAACAGCAGTAGTTTAAATATAGTACAAATAATAATAAAAAAAATTATAGAGGATTGGTTATGTGATTTTACGTCACATAAATCTATGTATGCATGCTCTATCAATTACCTAATTCATTATACTATAATCTAATTCATTATACTAAGGTGGTCCTACATTTACATTTAAATTCTTCTCTTAGAGGTGTCATTTTCAATATTAAAATCATCACAGGTTATGTAGGACACACCTCAATGTTTTGATCTTTAGCCAAATCTGTCTCTGGCTTACGTAAAGAAGCCATAACAAAGCATTATCTACAAAATTGACAGGATTTTACTGTCTTTAGATACTGCTCTTAATTATTGTGTCATGTTTCTGATTATTTTAACCTCCGAGGTCATCCCATTCTTTAGTCTTGGGAGCCTTCCATTTTTGTTATCCTGGTTTCAGACCAGTTCATTATATACTTATTCAGCCTAAAAGTTTTTAACTCTATCCTTCCAGCATCAGCATTATGAAACCACTTGCAGAAGTGCAGGTAACAAGATGCTAAGTTGTAGGTCTGTCATTCAAAATTTTCAAAGACCTTTGGCATTCAAAATTTTAAAATGCAGAGAGATACACTGTATGATATTTGAGTTGAACTTTTTGAAAGCCCTATTTTCAGCAAAATCATAGTAGCAGTGGTTGGAATTGTATTTATGGAAATGCTAAACAGTTAGAGGTGCCCACTTTTATCACCCATTCTCATTATTTTGCCTTTTTTTTTCCTCATGCAGATTATATTAACAAATTTTAAAAAATGAATCAAAGTAGTGGCAAAGTTTAGAAGATCATCCTGTGAAAGAGAAAGTTTGAAGAGAAGTGCTTGGCCTAGGCTTACAAAGAATGGAAGAATACACAGTTTTGGAAGTACTAGGAGAAGGATCCTTTGGCAGAGCTCTCCTGGTTCATCATAGAATCAGTGACCAGAAGTATGCAATGAAGGAAATCAGGCTTCCTATGGTAAATGTGACATGCACATCACCTCACCCACCACTTATATTAAAAAAATAAATAAATCCCTCCTGTTAATGCTGGTGATGTTATCCAGATCACCAAAAAAATCACAAAATAGAAGGCACTGGCTTTGCTGAGGCTGAAGCTCATTTAATACCTGGGCTGTATGTATTTAATACCATGGCTGTATACCATGTTCATGCAGTGTAGATTATCAGTGTTTCCAAAGTCAGTGTTTGCTGCTTTGTTTCACAGCTCTGTTGTTCACATAGACAAAATTGTTAATTGAGGTAGGAAAATAGCCTCTCAAATTAAGAAAAAAAAAAAGCTCCCCAAAAACGCAGAGGAGTCTTCAACTAGTAATAAACCACAGATTAAAAAATGGTGGGGTTTTCAAGTTTCTAAATGGCTTTTTTTTTAAATAACTGAAGAAGATTCTTTAAAATATTTTCCTTTTGGAACGTAAAGTGTGTCTGTTGTATATCTAAAACTCTGCTAGTGTGGCATTTATATAATTGTCCTTAATTTTCAGTCTTCATCTGATGTAGAGAACTCTAGGAAGGAAGCAGTTCTTTTGGCCAAAATGAAACATCCAAATATTGTTGCCTATAAAGAGTCGTTTGAAGGTAAATATAAAAACTTTGAGTATCTTTGTTTTGTTTGAAATTGCATACTCCTGAGCCATGAAAATGACTTTTTGTGTTTGTTTATGGTATGTGTTACAAACAAAATACATGTTTTTTATAAGGCATAATAAATGGCATGTAGTCAGAGCTTTATAGTAACAATAATATACTTACCCTGCTAATGAAATGAGTAATTATTTTTAAATTATCTAAAATTTAGCTGACGGACACCTGTATATAGTGATGGAATATTGTGATGATGGAGATTTAATGCAAAAGATTAAGCACCAAAGAGGAAAGTTGTTCCCTGAAGATACGGTAAGAAAAGACATTGTTTTGAAGCAAGGACCTAGGAATCCTTTTTCTTGGAAATTGAAGCACTCTGCATCATATAAAATAAATTACAGATCTACAAACACCTTATCTTAGGTGAAACAAAGACACTTAAAGTTTGATGCATTATTTCTTTGATAATTTTCAGCAGAACAAGATGGGAATTGGACTGAAAGGAGTGAAAAAGAAATTGCTGTTTGTGTCTGAGAATTGTGAAAAACAGAGTCAGGTGTTCAGGCATAAATTTATGCAATTAAGTAAGAATTTAACAGAAACTTCAGC